AAGTCAACTATCCTAAACAAACATGCATGCCATAGTTCGACTCATCAATCTCATTGAGAAACTAGGATTATTCGATCATGTGAAATTCGTATCGTATTGGAAAAAATAATCAGACTCCATCTAGCCTGGACCACACGTTTACAATCCATGATCCTTTTTGAAAACGTAGTGAATTCGTCATACGTTTCTCTCCTATTCACAAAACCAAACCAAAACATCTTTCTGGCAACAAACGTCGGAATTCAAAACCTTTGGATGTACCAGCATTAAAGAACAAACTACAGGGGTGAGTTGTTAATCGTATGCTTGATTTGGTCCCGACGATTACCTTAGCTTTTTACTACCCACAGTTTAGCACATTACAAATCAGTCTATCCCAAAAATGCCTCTGGATGTGTGTAGCGACCTAACATAGTAATGTATCACAATCTTCAGATACTAAAACTCGAAAAATACAATGAGAACACGAAGGAAACAATAACGACAGCTCATGTAGGCGACCAATGCCAAAAGAAAACTTAGCTCCAATCTTTGGTTAAGCTGATCGATAGATTCATCTCCATTAAGAAACGAATTTTCAATCTATCAGTAACAATACACTCGACAACTTCAGGGATAATGAGATGCTCGATGTAATATGGTATACTCAACTAACTGTTACTTTTGAACTTGTTTTCACCTGAACAGAACGCCTCCAGAATGAACACAAACCTGAGTGGAGCAGTTAAATGAACCACCATCTTCGATCGCAAGGGGAAGGTGGATGCATGACAACTTGAAGGGGTTGATTACACTTATCTCTTTGATAAGCTCAACATGATAAGTATCAAGTCACTATTGATAGACTGGGTTTGTGAGATCTAGATAGTCCCCTTTTTGATGCCAGGGTAAATTTCATAGTTTATCAGCTTACGGAATCCCTTAGTATGGCCCTTACTATTTTGCAGTGTTGTGGTCAAGGTTAGCGTTTGTACACTTTTCTACGCTGCTGGAATGAAAGACCTATTTCATACTCGTAGATTTGCCATGATGTGGCTACCTAATCTATCAGATCTTATGTGGAATGCACATCAATATACATACCGACCCGTTTTATGGTGACAGTCTGCAACATGATGTTTATGACTTCTGAAGAACTCATTTGTACTCAGAAGAGAATTATATATATTTTATGAAGGGAGAAAAGTCACAAAGAGTGGTCACACCTGCATGACCGATCTAAGCCATCTCGATTAAGTCTTCCCAGATTCACCACTTCTGATCTCCGTGAGTTCAAATTCAAATGTGAATCTCAGTCGTTATATGTTCAGCTTCTAAGACCGTTTGGTTAAGAACCAATACCACTACAGGTTCACCATTAAAATCAAGTTTTTTCTAAATTACATAGATGACTTTTAGCAAATATCATCCAAGTTACTACTTTTCGATAACGATGTTACACTTCAAGGAGAAGTTTGCATCCGGTATGGTTAGCTGGAATTTTAAGAAGATTTGGCTTCATTTGGAATTATAACATTGAACGTTTTTCCAATAAACAAGTCGGAAATTTCACAAAGTCAACACAGATGAAGCTGAACTGGAAGTGTATCAGGTTAAGAAAACATTTAAGAATTTTTGTACTATGACATCTGAAGTCTCATACTGTAACAAAAATACTTTTTGATCCATACTTGCACTGGTAACTTTGAAAAATGATTTTTCATCCAGTTTCACGGTAGAACTTACCACTTAATCCTTAATAGTTTTGTGCGGTCCTTTCTAAAGTATTCAGATAGCGTCACCTTTCGCTTCAAAAGGATTGAGATACTCTGGAACTTATTCATACGGAAGCTGAGAAACCAGTTCGAGGACTTAGTGAAGAATACCTTAAAACACTGGACTTTTGACCGTTGGCGTGTAAACAACTCAGAGGTGATCTTTAAATGAATTATGGTGTTCTTAACATCGCTGGACATCGTTTGATGTAAACACAAACGTTCAGGGCCATACATATAGTGAACGACAATACAGGTGGGATAAACCGATTTATCGTCTGTTGCAAAATTACAGCGTCTTTATAAAATATGAAAATCATACAATAAATGCTGCATTTTCACATCTGTCATTTGTCTCTTGAAAACTTTATTGTTATTTTATTGTTGTTCTTATCCATATTAATTTCGGTTTTCTCTTCATTTCAGTCTTCTCAATCTTCTGCTCTTAAACATTGCCTTACGACTGGTGCCACATAATGTTTATATCTGTCAATATAAGTAACATACCAATATACTGGATGAGACAATCCACGCAGGGCATCGAAGACGAGACGACGGTAAACAGAGGGTATGATGGGTCGGGGAAGACCGGTAGAAGTATCACACAGGATAGTACCTGAGCTAGTAGCTAGAGGTACTTCTTGGCACTGAAGTGATGTAGATTGTGGTGCTTCTGTACAAAAGGGATCGTTTGCTTGGGCGGCAGCCATAGGAAGATCGAGCACCGGTAAAGTAACTGCGTTCACTTGGACACGTAACAGAGCTTCGGAAACATAGTTCGACTCGCCTTTGATGTGACAAGCTCTATCGTGAACTGGGAGATATAGTCCAAATGCTTGCACTCTCGTGGTGAGTAGCGGTCAGACTTGGCATTCAGAGCATACGTTAAAGGCTTGTGGTCGGTGAATAAAATGAAATTCGATGCATCAACCGCTGATGGTTCAGGATGAGCGAGGAGTGCAACTTGAGCCAGAGCCATTTTGATCTCTGAAAATGCAGTACGGGCGGTATCGTTCAATTCTAATTTGCGTGGATTACCGCGTAGTAAATCAGTTAATGGTCGTAACCGTTCTGCCGCGTGAGGGATAAAACGTCAGTAGAACTTAACCAAACCGAGAAAAGCCTTCAGTTCCTTGAGTGAGGACGGCACGTTGTACTCCTTTATTGCTCGAACTTTGTCCTTGCAAGGCAGAATACCCTCTTGTCTGATGATGTGACCCAGAAATATTATTTCTGGTTTACCCAATTCACACTTGTCTGGGTTGACTACTATTCCATTATCCGAAAGGCGTTGGAATAATAGCGTAAGATGTTGATAATGTTCATCTACGTTCGATTAACAGGTCATCAATATAGACGTGGACAAAATCCAAGTCTCGTACTATGCTATCGATAAACCTTTGGAAAGTTTGAGCAGCATTCCGTAATCCAAATGGCATTCGTAGGAACTCAAACAGACCAAAAGGAGTCTTGATAGCGGTTTTCTCGATATCTTCAAAAGCGACTGGGATCTGATGATATGCTCGTACCAGATCAATCTTAGAAAATATAGTCGTGCCCTTGAGTGATGCCGTGATGTCGTGTATCTGAGGGATGAAGTAGCTATCAAAACGTGTAGCTACTTTTTTTGCTCGATAGTCGCCGCATGGTCTCCAACTAACCCCATCCTTTTTGCGAACCATATGAAGAGGTGAAGCCGAAGACTGTGAGAAGGATGAATAATACCAGCAGATAGTAAATTGTCAAACTCAGGTTTAACGAAAGCCAATTTGTCCGGTGCCAGTCGGCGTGGACTTGCCGTGACTGGGGTCCGGCGGTGACTGTGTGGTGTACCACATAATTGGTCACCGATTGGATTTCCCGAAGAGGTTTGGTTAGTTCTGGGAATTTCCGAAATAAAGCGTAGAATATATCGTCACGCGAATGAAATATGCCTGTGATTCGGTACGCATACATCGAAGTCTATTATATTAATACCATTTTCATCGTTACCTACCATATCAAGTTGTTTCCGGATTTTATATATTGAAAAATATCAATGGGAAAATGTGCAACAAAAATGGGTAGATAGACAATAGACTTACCGTGATTGTCTTCTTTGGAAAGCTTTTGAGTGGTTGCAAAGTGTTCGTAGAGTTGACTCACCAATTGTGGTAGGCGTCGAGTCGCGATTGACTACGATCACCACTACAGGAATATCACGTACCAGATTTCAGGTTTGATCCCTTCGTAGACCAAAAACCAAAAGGCAGTTGACTGACGCAATAGAATATATTTGTTGGCAATCTCGTGATATCAAAATAATACCGAGGTCGTGACAAATAGTATAAGCGGGACTAAGTAAAGTACTCGAAGGCGTGCAAGGTCACAGAAAACGGGAGAAGGTAAGGTTTTAGTACCGTTAAACAAATAGGTGCAGTAAAGCAATCACTGGTACAATTGGTTATAATAACTGTTTCCGTTATACCAATCGCATTCTCTTCATAAAAGTCGGTCACTACAAGACTACGAATGCAATACAGTAAACTGGCCTTTAGGCACACCCTTTATTCCACACAAATGTCTATATCTTTGAATCCGCTACCGGTGAAGTTGAACTGAGAAACTTCTCGGTGTCTCTCAACAGGAATCTTAATATATTATTGGTGGTTATAGACAACACTTCATTCTAATATAACTAGGTCCTTATCTAGTGGGATCGGTGTTCCACCACTAATGGATACGAAAGACTTAGGTGAAAGCGTTTTCTATTCCGTTCACAACTGATTGAACTACACTACCATCAGGTGACCTGACAACAATTACATTCCCAGGGACAAAGATGATATGAAGGAAAAAAATTTAAAAAATAGAATCGGGCATCTAGACATTAGGCATATTGGAGTCGAGTGAGGATTTACATGAAAAACCTGGAGGTGCCAATTGACCCAAAGACACACCTGGTACGTAATGAAGTGATTTTTGATAGACTACTACAAATTCAGTAGATATTAAATGAACGTAACATAGAAACTCTTTTCTGCTTGACATTTGTGTTGATTCTATATATACTCCAGTTAAAGAACTAATTAGTAACAATTCATATGTGCGTAACTTTCGTACTCTAGCTATGTTGTGTTAGTATGATGCAAAAAGTTGTATAAATGGTGAGAAAAGATAAAAAAAATTAAGCGGCTCAGCGAGCACTGAAAATGGTCTTAACTATGGTAATGAAAGAAGCTGATAATCTCACAGTAAGATTAAGATCTAAGTCGATAGCTTGTGGTTTTGAACGCGTTACACATGGTGTTTCTATAGCTGTTGACCTTGACCGGTCCTGTTTGTTTGACTCATCGGTCGGACTCCATCTGCTGTACTAGGCGCATTACTTTGAGATGTTTTCAAGAGGTACCAATGTTTTCCGATTCGGGATTAGTTGTAGGAGCTTTCTGACCTCTTCAAAGGTAGGCTTTTTCACCTATGGGTAATATGCTTTGTTCCATAGCATTCTCCAAAAGTTGCCGTATTAGGCGCTAGCGGTGGTATAGGTCAACCTCTATCACTGCTCTTGAAACAGTCACCTTTGATTTCTCAGCTTTCACTGTATGATATTGCTCATGTAAAAGGTGTTGCTGCTGACCTCAGCCATATTGAAACTCAAGCTCATGTGACTGCACATCTCGGACCAGGAGAGCTTGCAGAATGTCTTTCTGGTGCAAATGTTGTTATTATTCCCGCGGGGATGCCTCGTAAGCCTGGTAAGCTGACTAATCTTTCCTCGCAGATTAAAGTTTGGATAAGGTTAAGTGTTTCAAAATGGACAATTGTTTGGTCTGAAGAAATTGTACTACAACCGATTTTAGTCTGTATACCGTGTTTATTTTATCTCGAGACTTTAATTTATGGACGACCTTTAAGCGACGCTGAAAACTTTGAGAACGTTCACGTACATACTACGGCCAAATCAAGATTATGAAACTGTGAGGAATTAGGATAAATATTTACAGTTGATAGTTAGGGCTAGGAACTAAATTTAGGGTTTTCATCAGGAACTGAATTAGCTATAATACCAAACTTCTAATTAACCAAATAGACAAATTAAATTTGCTCCAAAATTCAGGACCTGTTATCGTAAATCCGATTGGTTCGTCCATGAATTATAGTCTCGCCAAATTTTTAGCCCAGTCGAATACTGATACAGAAATAAATTATACAAGGAACGTTGGGGGTAGTGACTCAGAAATTACCTGGTTCGATTTACCTTGTACCGAATTCATTTTAAGGGTTGTGGGTACTCCAATTTACACTGAATTCCATCCCAACTTAGGGGAAGTGTTGTTTGAAACAATTCATTTCATTGAAAAGTGACATAAGTTTTCTACCAAAACTTGCCGATTTTTCTATTTCAGTCATTCTTATTATCTGGGTAGTCTCAATCTAAATTTTACTAACTACAGGTTTTAGAGGAGACCTAAGTATTGACCAAACATAACTAAACTTTTGTGCCCAGCAAAAAGTGGCGAAGGTGATGGGTATTTATGTACCTGCGAGGCTATACTTATGAAGGGCAGTTTCGTTCAACTAATCTTTTGTAATCTTTCCTCTGCCCACCTCTCCTAGTTCAAGAAGTTGACAGTTCCTAATATGGTTTGCTGTCTGATGTGTAGCGATAATTGGATTTTACTAGTTTATTTCAGATTAGACCTAATTCACACATTTTTTGCTAAATATCTGTTCAAATCTAAAGGTTATCTATACAATATGTTCAAATAATTTGTCATTTAGTAGATTAGTTCTGGGGTCCCTGAGGAGGATTTTCGCATAACAAAAATAGTATACTAGAGAAAACTTCATACTTATTTTGTTCCTAACTGCATCTAAATAAGTTGCAGTTGTGGAAGATTCGTGAATTCAGTGGTTGGATTCTGCATTGGTGTAACTTATGTTTAGTTTCTGAGGTTTGACTCCTTTAATTGCATTTAGAGTGTTGGCTGTCGATTATAAGTTACTAGTTATATTAACGAACGTCTGATATTCAAATTTTCGCACAAATTATTCCATATCACACTGATTTTTCTCTTAAGGGATGACACGCGATGATTTGTTCAATACAAACGCATCGATTGTTGCAGAACTTATTGATTCGTGTGCTAAAAATTGCCCGAAAGCAATGATATGCATAATTACAAATCCTGTCAATAGCACTGTACCAATTGCAGCTGAGATTTTAAAACGCCACAACGTTTATGATCCCAAGCGTCTGTTTGGAGTTACGACTCTTGATGTTGTTCGATCGAATACGTTTATTGCTCAGGCAAAAGTATGTTCGTTTTTGCAGGCTTTCTAATATTTGTCTTTAGGATCTTGCTGTGCGAAAGGTTTCTTGTCCCGTTATTGGAGGGCACTCAGGTATTACAATTCTTCCTGTAATATCTCAATGCAGTCCCCATGTATCATTTCCACAGGTATAGTACACTGCTTTCATGTGTAATTTTATTTTAAACAAGAGCTTCATACAACGATATCATAAGATACACAATATGAAAAATTAGTTGCATGAGTGAATAGTGAGATGAATAGATAATGTAGTAGCTGGTAGGAAAATAAGAGATAACAGAAGAGCCTATATGAATCTCATTCTTCTCGTTAGGATTCCTACTGACTTATGTTTTGAACTATTAAGACTACTAACTACTTGTTCTCAGTTTACATTTTAAGGGACTCATGATGGACGAACAAATTGCATCCTCTACATACGACTATCCTTCGCTCCGTATCATAGACTAACTAATCCTAATTGTCTGTTCAGTTTAAGCCTCAACTTGCTGTGACAGACATTAAACTCGTTCAGGTTCGTTATTTAAGTCATTCCCAAGTCCTCGAAACTTGTTTCTGTAGGCGAGATCTGTTAGATAAAAGTCACATACGTTCAAGATCAATTATGTAGTGTTCTAACAAATCCAAAAAATTCTGCGATGACAGTGAAAAACAAAACTCAGTCACTGCACGTCTGCTTGAAGTAGCTGTTTCACAAGTGTAGAGTAAAAGTGCTGTTACCGAACTGTCGTATTTGGGTTTCCGTAGTCAAACTATCGCAACAGGGCCTGATATATCCGTAACATCTTAGATGTTTATTATGTTTAAATAAAGTTTGGTTTCGCTTTTCCCATCCCATCCTGTCAGACCGCCATGATGCTGCTTTGTGTTAAAGTATTTATATTCCTTGCACGATGCCCATGATACATTTTGTCTTATTATATAAGTATCTGGAAACAGTTTAAAGCAAACATTTGATTGTAAGAATTGGATCTTTTTTTTTATAAACCCGTGTTTTTGTATTGTCTCCGGAACTTCGTAAATAGTGCTAACATTATTGTGTAAGACACCAAAAGCAAACTTTTGCCATGGAAAGTTGTAAGTCTGTCAGCTTACCAACTATTTTCGCTTTTAAATATTATGTAACTGATAAATTCTATAAATATTCATAGGTAAATTATCATGATGTTTTTATTAACTATTCCACATTATAGGATGAAAGAGAAAAAATTACCAAACGTATTCAGGAGGCTGGTACTGAAGTTGTAGAGGCAAAGGCTGGAGCGGTAAGATTTCTACATTTTTGAACATGTGCTTAATTTTTTCACTGACTTGTAAGTGCAGTGAAAAGTGTAGAGTACTGAGGATGAAGTAGCACTGTTAAATGTTAATCCGTACTACATTCCAAGTGAAGACCGGTGTCGAACAAGGATGCTCATATCTACTTTTTCGTCTGGTGATTGACTAGATTATAGAAACCTTCACGTCTCAAGGGAAGCACAAAATACAGTGGACAGCTTCAATTCACCTAGACGATTTGGACTTTGCAGATGATCTAGTTGTTCTGTCCCACACACACGAACAAATGCAGATGAAGACAGGCAGTGTAACAGCAGCCTCTGCACACAAAGGAAAAGGCGAAATCCTCAAATACAACACAGTGAACACCAAACCAACCACACTTGATGGAGAAGCTCTGAAAGACGTAAAATCTTTCACGTATCTGGGTAGTTTCATCGATGAACGTGGAGAATCTGATGCGGACGTAAGGGCAAGGATTGTCAAAGTAGGGACAGCATTCTTACAGTTGAAGAACAAAGGGAACTCAAAACAACTGTCAACCAATATCAGAGTGAGAATCTTCAATACGAACGTCGAGACAGTCCTACTGTATGGAGCTGAAACTTGGATAACTACCACAACAATCATTAAAAAGGTACAGGTATTTATAAACAACTGTCTACACAAGAGACTGAATGTCCGTTGGTTGGATATCATCAACAACAGCCTACTGTAGGAGAGAGCAAATCAACTTCCAACTGAAGAGGAAATTAGGAAAAGGTAGTGAAGGCGGATAGCATATATACTATGAAAAACATCAAACTGCACCCCGAAGCAAGCCCAAACTTGGAATCCTGAAGGCGAACGAAGAAAAAGAAAGGTCGAAGAACACATTGCACCGAGAATCGGGAGTAGACATGAAGGGGATGAATAACAACTGTAAACTACTGGAAAGGATTGCCCAGGACAGAGTTGAATGGAGAGTGCTGGTTGGCGGTCAATGCTTCATCACGAGACGGTTAACAATGTAGTGTTTATGATTCATCCTAAAAACGTTGATTCATGGTTTTCAAATTACTGCCTCAAGGGTTTTAGTGAACGCAACCATAGAATTGTGAACACATCTTTAAATCTTGGGATTCTCAAATTTTTGTCCCTTAAAAGTAATTTCAGCTTATTGGTGGGTCTACGGTGTTGGCAAACATATTTGGTTGCACTTCTATTACCATATTTTTCGTTATACATCGAAATATTTAACAATTAAAATCAACTTATCGAACTAATATGTTGCTCAAATATGAATGATCGTTAATGAAAACTCGGCAACGTTATATCGTTGGCATTTGTTAACCTTTGTGTTATATCTAGAAGGTTGATTACTTGATATAACGCGTATAACTGAACACAAGAACGCCAAAACCCTTCCAAGTTGCAAGGAGAAGACAGAAGACTAGTGGAAGGAATATTATTCCAACAGTGTCCATTATGGGTACAAATTGTCCGGTATTTATAGTTTTTAGCCTTGTCCAATCGAGAAGCTACACGTAGAAATTCTAGAATATTCTTCCTAACAGTGATTGGATGGAATATCTTCGGCTCCTTCTGAGCCTCTTATAGCTTCCTCGAGTTTACCCGTGGTCCGTCGTCACACTTTGTTGTCACGAGTACTTCTCTGAATTGTGATAATTAATTACGTAACTACAATATTACTCGTGTTTTTCATCTTTTTAGGGTTCTGCTACTTTATCAATGGCTTATGCCGGAGTAAGATTCGCTGTCTCACTTTTAGAAGCCATGAGTGGTCGAGCTGGCGTGGTGGAGTGTGCTTTTGTAGAATCAGATGTTACAGAATGTGAATTTTTTTCAACTCCTCTTGCACTTGGTGTAAGTTAACGGTCTTATGCTTTCATTATAATTCTCTGTAATATATTTGATGATCTAATCACCTTTTGCTAGTAATACAACCGTAATATTAAACAAGCCTATTGAGTCATCAGACAATTCTTGTACAAGGTAATGTATAAATGTTTCTGTTCTCTTTTGGTATTGAAGAAAAATATATTAATAAAACCTGACTAGAACTCACATCCTGTACTGGGTCGCAGATTTTAGAAAAATCTCGGCGCTACCAAACGTTTTAGATACATATCATTCACTAAAAAGGAATGGGTATACAATGCTTCGTATTTTGTTATTAGGACTGAGGATAAAGTATTAAATAAAAGCGTAGATCAGTTCGACCTGTCTACTCAAAACCAATTTTCATCACTCCATAGTTCGGCAATAGAGGAGAAATCGGTTTAGCAGGTTGTTCTCATTACTTGTCCTTGGAGTTCCCTCTCGAAATGCTCTCACATAGCCACGCGTATATAGCCTCTGCCAGGGAAGTCCTACTCACTGCCTTCACGTGGCGAAGGTGTTGTTTACGAAGGTGAGGACGAAAAGCGAATGTCCAGCGCTTTAACCGGATCCTAAACCAATGGTGCACATGGGCTCCAGTATCCTGCGGGAACAAATGGCGTATGAACCAATCGTTGGTCACCGACTACCATGGGAATGCATCTCCTCACGACGCTGCATTGCCTTGTGGGTTAGACCTTTAGGTCGAAAGCTCGGGGTGTGGCCACCTAAGAAAACCACCTGCTTCGGTTTGGGCACCCGGGCAGTATCACAGCCCTCACACATATCAATTGAAATCTGTGTGGCGCATATGTATTTGGTGCCTCCTTGTACCAATATCTATGTGTTAAAATAAATATAATAAATAAATAGTCCCATCAGCCCTAATGTGTTTGGTAGTTGACAGGACCCTGTGACGAATCCAAATGATTCTTCTGACTTTTGGTAATTCCTATTATTTTGGCATTTATTCATTCAGAGGAAAAGCACAGTCGACAACAGTTCTATATATTAATTTGAGTGTGAAACATGGCTACTGCAATAGAAGGGTTTTGTGGCTTACATGTATCTTCAAAGCGTTAATACGATATGCTGTAATTAAATCATCAACTATCAGATTTATAGGTTGTCAGATAGCAGCTTAACTATACATGCTTAAATATTGTGTCATTTAAATTTTGGTTACGTTTCTGTTCGGACTGGTGATTATTGCTTTTACAAATTTGTGAAATCCACTTTGTGCTTAACTGTTAAACCATTTCATTCTAAAATCTCATAATATGTTTTCTCTATAATTAATTAGCGTTACTTTTCTGTCGTTCCAATTCTAGGCTGAAGGTGTTGAAAAGAATATGGGTATTGGAAAATTAAATGAATATGAAATTGAATTACTTAAAAAACTCATCCCAGAGTTAAAAGCAAATATTAAGAAAGGCAAAGAATTTGCAGCTAAATATACACCTAAATAAACTATGATAGTGGTTATATTTCCTCCATCAAGTAATTTACATAGTTATTCTTGACAGCCTACATCTTTTGTCTTTTCTAATGATCTATTTTCGTTTCCCCGTAATATCTGGAACAACACATCCTTAAAGAGATTGTTCACTCCATTGTTTCGAACCTAAATCTTTCTTCGACTTTCCATTTCATACATAGAAATGTTGTTACCTGTCCTTTTTTCTCTCATATTCTCTTCAATGTGATCTTTTGTTTCTTTTCTCTCCATTTACACTGTAATTTTCCAACTTTAGTAGTGTTATACTGCTTCAGTGTGGGTGTTTGCGTTCAAAACAGTACTTAGTTTAAAATAACTAGGTTTATTATAGTCAATATACATCTGGAAAAATAATATACATTTAATTTCCCGGTCATTTTAGCGTTTCTGTTATAATCTTCAGATATGCATGCAGCTCAATAAATTTATTATAAATGCAATTGATTGATGAATTTCAGATATATGTACTCGGTCGTAAGTCATACGTTTTGTGGTTAATCTCGAAATGTTACCTAGTTGCTTGAATTGGATTAGGTGGTGTGGTTTGAACCTGCTAACTGATGGTTATAAGTCAAGTAGACCACCGATTGTAATACATGGTCTTTTGTTTCTAGGTAGTCAGAATGGATACACCATGGAGGACCAGATAGATAATATTTGTATCAATAAAAATTTCAGAAGCATAATTGGAGACGTGAAAACCAGGAGAGGAGATGGTTATGGCCAAGATGAAACAGTGAAAATAGAGAAACATTAGACAGCTAGGGAAACATCAGTTCAAAAGTTCAATACAGCCTTTCTACGAGATACTAACAAACTCACTGAATTCAAGATAACTCTCAACAACAGGTCCCAAGCATTACAAGATCTACTGAAAAAATAAGAAACTACATTGGAGAACGATTTAAAAAGGATCAAAGATGAATTAACATCAACGTGTCAGGTGCTGGACCGCAAGAAGCATCATAAACACTGGATCTCTGTGGAAACCCTGGACAAGATTCAGGAAAGGAGGAGCAAAAAGATAGCAATTAACAACCGTCGCACTAGGACAGAGAAAGACAAGGCACAGGTCGAATACACCGAAGCAAACAAGAGAGTGAAGAAGAACACTTGAGCCGACAAGTAGGAATACGTGGAAGACTTAAAAGCAACAGCAGAAAAAGTTGTAAGAGAAGGTAATATGAAACAACTATATAACTTGCAGGAAAGTATGGGAAACCAGAAAGACCAGTCAAGGACAAAGAAGGTAAGGTAATCACTCAGATTCAAGAACAGAGGAACAGGTTGGGAGAACAACGTGAGGAACACTTGAATAGGCAAGCACGGTGAACACCAAACCAACCACACTTGATGGAGAAGCTCTGAAAGACGTAAAATCTTTCACGTATCTGGGTAGTTTCATCGATGAACGTGGAGAATCTGATGCGGACGTAAGGGCAAGGATTGTCAAAGTAGGGACAGCATTCTTACAGTTGAAGAACAAAGGGAACTCAAAACAACTGTCAACCAATATCAGAGTGAGAATCTTCAATACGAACGTCGAGACAGTCCTACTGTATGGAGCTGAAACTTGGATAACTACCACAACAATCATTAAAAAGGTACAGGTATTTATAAACAACTGTCTACACAAGAGACTGAATGTCCGTTGGTTGGATATCATCAACAACAGCCTACTGTAGGAGAGAGCAAATCAACTTCCAACTGAAGAGGAAATTAGGAAAAGGTAGTGAAGGCGGATAGCATATATACTATGAAAAACATCAAACTGCACCCCGAAGCAAGCCCAAACTTGGAATCCTGAAGGCGAACGAAGAAAAAGAAAGGTCGAAGAACACATTGCACCGAGAATCGGGAGTAGACATGAAGGGGATGAATAACAACTGTAAACTACTGGAAAGGATTGCCCAGGACAGAGTTGAATGGAGAGTGCTGGTTGGCGGTCAATGCTTCATCACGAGATGTAACAGGCGTGATCAAGTCAGAATGACTATCAGTGAAATTTCTGGTCTACTTGTAAACTATACGGTAGTGAATGGCTGAACAGATATGTCAATATAATGGAAAGATTTATTAGGAGTGTTGTTTTCATTGTTGAAAGAGATATCTGAAGTCCATTCTCAAGTCAGTAATTTTGAAATGTATACTGAAATCTTTATGATCAGTGAAAAATTCTTAACATAAATCAATCTAGTTAAAACGGCACGACTATCTTTTGAATTGTTATTGAGTTAGTAAACGACTAGCCGATAGACGCGTAGGGATGTATATCCAAGTCAGTCATAAGCAGCATAAAGTCTTGGACGTACTTGCGTCATTTCAAGCTGCTACAGCACAGTATGTTAAAATTATCAAGACAATGCTAAAGCAGCCACAATATCAGTAGAAAATAAATCATGGATAACATAATTCATTTTTGTGTTGGTTGCTTGAATCTTTCCATTGATGTTTATGACTGTAATTGGTCAGTGTCAAGCAATTAATAGAGAAATGAATTATAAATTCACCTCATTGCACAAGTTATTGGCTATCTGGACTTAGTTACTAAGTGTATAGTTCGATAGCGTTTGAAGTAAACACGGTTCGTTGCAAAAGTCTGAGATGTTATTCTTAATGAAATGGAAGTTCAAAACCAGACAAAATGAAAACAATAAATCTGAAGAAGCGACACAAAACATTGTAGTGGAGATTGGTGCTTACTTATGGGAAATCTTGTTAGAAAGTAAGGAAGTTACAAGCAATCAAAATAAATGTAATGTTTTACATTAGTAAACCACATAATGATGATGTAGTTAACGAATATAAGTCAGCGGATAGCCATAAATCAAATTATAAAGTTGAAATCGTCTCACTGAAGTTACTTTGATCATACCTGCCTTGTTAAGTTAAAAACTCTTGATATTAATGGCCTCTACAAGATCGATGCTCTTTATTTCTTATTTGATCTGAATCCCCATACGATATCCATCTCATGTATCCTATCCATTAAGTATCCAGCGACTGTATCCATTAAATATTTCCTTCCTTGAAGACACAGCTTTCGAAGAACATGATCCGAAAACATCGTGGAAATAGTCATCTTAGGTCTTACTCAATTATTACTTGTATTCGTAAGTGGAACTAGATGTAACCTAAGGAAATCAGTGGTCTACTTTTGGTTTAAAAAAACATTACCGTTATATGCTGAAATTGGTTGGACTTGGTGAAATCTCAGCAGCGTCTTGATTCCATGTTTTAACATTTGTTCATGAAATTTACAAAAGAAAATTCATTCCTTTCCAGTAATCCTGAATTACATTCAGAATGATCGGCACTCAATTTTTTCTTTCCAACTGTCATATATAGGAGAGAACGATTGATTAAAACAAAGTACACTCATAGTCAGCAAACCAAAGAGTATTTATATGATACGTTGCATTTGTGTAGGCTTCTTGTAATAACTTCATTATGAATAGTGTTCTTTCATTTCTCTAGATGGTCACTTATTACTCTTTATTGCACTAAGCTCTCTTAACTTAAGCTAAAAATACATTGGCACACTTTCCTAGTTCAGCAGAACTAGCATTAGGACCTTAGAAAATTAAATGTTAATAATCAAACTTTTAATAATAAATATATTTTTGTGATATCACACTGAGTAGAAAAATTGTATTTCTGACGTTTCATGATGTAATGTAAGCCACTTCAGAGTATATATATATATATAATTTGTAAAACCTTAGGCTGTAGGTATGTGAAGTTAAGGTGTGGAGTATTTTGTTTAAACATAACTTGAGACCCCTTGCCATTATTTTTAGTAGTTTATGTTACAGTGACATAGTTATTTGAGTTCAGTAGTTTGTACACATACAAATAATTTATCCGGGTTGTAAATTTCGAAGTTTTTGACTAAATTGGTGAAATACATCAAATCAATAGGTGTTGAAATAATATCCATGAAATTATGATATCTTAATGTTTAAATCATAGTGCATTAAGAGTTCTAGATAACATAAAACCTAGGACTAGAGGTTAATGTTAACTGTCTCAAATCACTCTACAATAAGCATATGATTAAAAAATGATTGAATTTTGAAAGGAGAGCGAGAACGTAATAAAATGCAATAAAGTTCCACCACCTAGAATTCTAAAGTCATGCATAGTCATCATTCTCTAAACAATTATAAGATAGTTTAAATATGTTTCAGTTTGTAGGACTTCCTCGACTCTAGAGTACCAATTCAGATTTTGAACGCAAGTGACCCTGGATGAGATTTTATTAAGATCCAATTCGTGCCTGTTTTAATTTCATTTCCCATTTTGCAGACCACCTCTGCTTACAAGATCGCATATTGTGGTGGCTGACCGAATATTTATCAACCACAGTGAGTCTGACATGTAACAAGTAATTCTTTAATTGGTAAGGATAGGAACATACTGTTTTACACAAGCCACTGTAATTATAAATCAAGTTCATATCTTGATTCTACATTACTTATTTTACACTTAATATTTAATAAATATTTAAAGTAAAACGAACTTACTAAAGAGGGTTTTTTTTTCAACTTTAAATCTGGTCAGCATGGAACTTATTCCGGTCAATTCGTATTATTCACTTGGTATTGTTTACATGAATCTTCCCATTGATGATTAGGACTGCAGTTGATCAGTTTGCTATTGGTATATGTGCATACTATACGTATTGCCTCGATATTACCTTAATTCACAAGCATTCTAAGCAAATATGGATAGTAGTTAGCGGTAAAATCCAGGATGTGACTTTCGTGGATAACTCAATGGCGTTTGAAGCGAACGGTACTGAGTTCGAGTCCCAGAGTGAACATCAACTCTGAGATGCAGGTATATGAAGCTGAAGAGTCCAAGATAGGACGAAACGCGCGTCCTAGATTCCACTGCTAGCCACTATCCATCTGTGCTTATAATTCGTATTGCTGTTTCAGAACTTCAGAATATATAATTTAACTGATTTTATTGATAAAAGTAAATTATTTTATGAACTTAAATCATAGTGAATAAGTGTTTGTTTATTAAACGGAACACTGAAATTCGTGAAATGTTTCATATTAACTTGCTTTCGATTAAATTGCTTATAATAATACATCGTTTTATTTGAAAATTTAAACTTTGAAATATGAACACAATTTGAATTTTCATATTTATTGTATGCATAAATTGATAAATGAAAATTTTATATACGTATTCAAACATGTATCGAGGGGTATTCTTGTTTAAATTGGCTAAATAATTATTAATTTTTCATTTGATATAATCGGTTATTCATTGTACAATAGGAGGGATTCATTTCTTTTAATATTCTACTTTAAATTAAATAATCTTGCTGAGTAAAATAATATTTATTTGGGTAGTTTATTTAAATTAACTGAAAAAAACTGACTTCGTATTCATGGTCATTAGCTTCAACTAACTGTAGGTAT